TGCAGCTGAACTTCTGTGCTGATGTCTGCCTCGATCTTATTCATGCAAGAATCTCTTGATGAAGTTCTGTTTGCATTAAAGTGAATACGTCGATGGATAAAATGGCTTTCAGGTTGCAGCAGACACAGAAACGTGTTTTGTTTATGGTTTATTCCAGAGGTGTATCGGCTGAACATTAAACTCCAGCAAATGCATAAGGATTAAAAAGTGTTGCTCCAGGGTACAGCTTTACTCTGCTGCTACACTGATTTTAGAGGCTGTACTTGCCAATTATTCTGCAGGTTTTGCGAGTTAACTATGAAGACTTCAGAGTATGATGTGATGTTGTTTAAAGTTCATCATCAGAAAGGGTTTAGGGGTATGACATGCCAGTACTGAACGCATAATAATATGTGTAAATAATCTATTAGCGGGGAATTATAATATTATTTTGACAGACCTTGATGCACATTGCCATCCAGCACAAAACAAGCAAGGCAATGCAGTAACTAGCTAACAGACTACTATGAAAACATGTAGGCAATAGTGGCAATATCAGTGAATGAGCAGGTCGACAATAATTGAAACACCAACTTCTGCTCATATACTATGATTATATACACTGACCGACCATTTTATTAGCTACACTTTGCTAGCAGGTTATCAGAAGACAGTTACACTTTTGTCATAAAGGGATAGCAATAATACTCAAGTAGGCTGTGGCATTTAAACAATGCTTAGTTGGCACTAAGGGGCCCAAAATATGCCAGGAACCTACCCCCCACACATTCAACCTCCACTAGCCTGGATTGTTGATACAAGACAGGATGGATTCATGCTTTCATGCTGTTTACATACAAAAGTTGCAGCAGAAATCAAGACTCATCAGACCAGGTAACAAGTCCAAAGTTAGTTGACATGAGTGAAGCCGACTGCACTCTTCTGTTACTGTGGCGCATCTGCTTTAAGGTTCAACATGTTGCGCGCTGAGAGATGCTGTTCTACATATCTTTGGCTGTAACGAGTGGTTATTTGAGTCACTGTTGCCTTCCTATGAGCACACTGCATGTCTGCCCATTATTTTTTGGCCTCTGGCATCAACAAAGCATTTTTTCTATTTTCTTTATTAGAGCATTGTCTGTAAACCCTAGAGATGGCTGTGCAGGAAAAGCCCAATAGATTGATACAGATCAGTCTATCTGCCACATTCAGAGTCACTTATATCAGCTTTCTTCCTCATTCTGATGCTCTGTTTGAATTTCGCCAGGCTGTCTTGGAGACAGTCGACGCTCTACTTGGAAAAGTTTGCTTGGCAGTTTATTTTTTTTATGCTCATGGACACAGCTTGAAAAAAACAATTCTAGTTGAAACTCTTTAATGACATACATCGTGTAATTTCTTACAAACTAAATGACATAGTGGGCAGCGGGATCCAAAATCCTTAACCCTTTGAGGCTTTAGATTGTTTAAGTCGTCATTCTTAATTTTTAATTTTTCAGCAGTTTACAATTAGAATATAGAACTAATGGTCTAAGAAGAGAGAGTGGAGTAAAAAGTGTGACATTTAACATTTACAGAATAATTGCAGAAGGAAATGTGTCAACACTATTGGTACTTAGACACTGGCCTCCACTAGTTTGCAAAGCCGAAAGGAAATTTGTGTTAAGTGGAACATCCGCTGCACAATTTATGCATGCACACACCTGCTTTCCCTGAGGCCAGCCGTTGTGTAAAGACAGTTTGATAACTGCCACTGTATTTGACAGAAAGCATCACTATTTTCTTTTTACCCTTCAGTCAAGTGACATTCATGTACAGTATACCTGTGTTTACTGCATGCTGACAGTAACTGGTCTTTCTTACAATAGTAGATGTATATAGTCTCAGCATCTACGTAGCCTAAAACAATCTGTCTGATGAATTAATGATCTGTATTTAGACAATAACTTGCCGAGAATTCAGTTAGAAAACCTGAGATAATAAAACCTTATGCAGGCATAACAGCCAGCATTATGCAGGTCAGTACTTGCTGTGATGCTCTTTATTTTTTTCATTGGTAACTTTGCACACATTCGCACATACTGATGGATACTAAAAAACAAACGAACACTGAGGACTTTGTGGCCATGCTTTGAAGTGTTGATGCTATAGCCAGTTTACATGAATGTAGCACAAGAGCATGCATAAAAAAACTGCAGGTCTATACTATGTGCGGTAGTTATGCACAAGAGAGGCTGATGTGAATGTTTGGCTCCTTCTTAATGTTGGAGTCATTTTTATGCTGGTCATCTGAGGATCCCTGTGCTTTTGCACAGTGCGTTTGCAATGCTGGGCACGTGCCTGGTGTGTGAAGGGAATGAGAACTGATAGCTCTATATATAGAAATACATACATGTATGTAGGGATTTAAGAGTGGACTGCGCAAGAGAATAAAAGGTTGCTGAGCACACAAAGGGGGATTACACGTGCTGGACCATACACACCATCTTTGTATTTTATGCTGGTGTATATGTCTTTGTAACAACAAATTTGAGAGTGAGGTATGCTTTTTATTATGTGATTGCTGGCTGCCGTGTGACTGCTGTGGGGCTATAGTATGACTCAGAATTGAAGAGCTTATGTGTGTTTGAGGAATGGTGTCAGACCTGGAGCTGTCAAACTCTAGCACCATCACAGCAGTCTCTGAGATCTCAGTATCATGTTCCTTTTCATCTTTCCTGTTCAATTTGTAATTGTAGAATAAATAACCAGCAGTATTTGCGTGTTCCTTGTGTTGCTTCTGATAGATTTTTTTTTAATTCTCTGAATTTCCATCATTTCCACATCTTTCCAAATGTTCTCAGCTGAGCTTCCAGAGAGTTTGGCAGAGAAACACTACGTCATGTAGGTAGAGCACCTAACAGACAACAAGATCAAGCAAAAAATGGCAAAATATCAGGTAATAATGGATTGGATTTATATAGCGCTTTTCAAGGCACCCAAAGCGCTTTACAATGCCACTATTCATTCACTCTCACATTCACACACTGGTGGAGGCGAGCTACAGTTGTAGCCACAGCTGCCCTGGGGCAGACTGACAGAGGCGAGGCTGCCATATTGCGCCATCGGCCAACACCAGTAAAGTGTCTTGCCCAAGGACACAACGACCAGGACAGAGAGCCCGGGGATCGAACCGGCGACCTTCCGGTTACAGATGCGCTTCCCAACCCCCCTGAGCCACAGTGCAGCACTGGGAGCCCCATGTGCAGCACTGGGAGCCGGTATGTTATTGGCTCCAAGAAAGTACAGCAACCCCTTGTTACTCACGCTTATGTAACATTTCTTGTCACATCATTTGCCACGTTGTGTCGGTTCTCACAGGACTGACAAAAAGAAAAAGAACACCAAAGGCCCCACCAAAAAAATAATTAAAAACAAACGCAGCATGAAAGCTATTTGATTACTTGATTATTTTTTGTTCACTCCCTGAAGTGAGGGTTGGATTTTATTTCTTTGGGGTTTTAAGGGAACATCCCTTTCATCGCTGTCATTACTCCAACCCTGAGGCAGAACGGTTTCTTTTGACTGTTGACATTACGCAAGTCGCAGGTTTAACTGCAGCTGTGTGTTCATCCAAAAGCATTAGTGTAATAAAAATGAAAAAGACTTAATTGCAATCTTTATTTATTTTGGAATAAAAAAGAGAAAAAAGGTCTTTTTCGGCACACTCCTTTCATATTACCTTTACTTATTTCAAGGGGCTCATTGGTGATACCAGTGGTGGTTCATCTTCTTCCCATTTAATAACTGCAGGTGTCATATATTCTGAACGAACTGTCGCTTCAGCAGAAACTGTGGAGAACTAATAATGCTTTTGAGTGCGAGTGCTCACTGCAGAGATGACAAGGGCCTTTTTGAAAAGGTGGCCCATGCTGCAGTGATGCATTGAGTATATTGGTCACGCCAGATACCCTCTCTATGGAACCCAAAAACAAGATGTGCTCATAGACTGTTTCATCCAATGGTGACATGTTAGTAAGTGCTATCTTGTAACTATCAAGTTGCACAAGTTTTCAAACCGCTTGTTTAACAGTTATAAGTGGCTACAAAAATTCCTTGCGCTTTGAAAGTGCCATACAATGCCACACAAAAATGTACAAAACTGCCAGAACATCGATGAGGCAACAATAAATTCCCTTCAGACGGCTGCTCATATCTCATTCTGTCTTCATCCTCTTATCCCTCTACTTCCTGTTACATCTAGCACATCAGTCTGCGTTTTGAGTTTAGGATGACAGAATTTTGGAAAGGTAGGTGTGTGTGTGGGTGGGTGCAGAGGAAGTAGAGCGTGGGAGGAGAGAGGACTGGACTTAATCCGAGCAGATTAAATGTAGATTGATGTTTTTTGTCAGAGAATCGTCACCTCTGGCTTCAGATTATACTCTGACCACATCACAAGGACGGGTCATTTAAGGGATTGAGTGCAAAATTATCCCACGGCAAGAAATTTCATAATGATGATCCCCTTTTCAGTTCAGAGTGTCCGTCTTAATCCGTGCATATGTGTAATTTGATACTAGATGGAGAGGGCATATGCTCTGATATTCTCACTTAAAGTTATTTTTTTTGTAAGTGACTTCATGAATTATATAAGTCTGTTTTATTTGGCTGCCCTAAATGTGTCTGCAAGCATGCATCTGCATGCTTGGGTGGCCAAGTAATGACATAATTCCTCATAACTGGATACTAGATTATACAAATATAACATATATTCTAATCATTGTGCAAAGTATTTCACAAATTTAATTATTACTCAGCAGGACTTTTGTGCAACATGTTCTTTGGATTTTAAGATTTTCTGTCCAACACTCACACCCCCCAGTCCAGCGCAAATTGTTGGCCCATGATGCAATACATCTTGCTTGCTGGTTTAGGTTTCCCAGCCAATCAGAGCACAGCAGTAGGAGGGCATAGAGTGAGCTCATGCTTGTAAACGGCACTGACAGTAGGAGGGACTTTCAATTTACAGTCCCACCCTTTGTTGTCATCCCCGCTCAGCCCTCTTCAGTGCGTGTGCCTTGCATGGAAAAGGGAAAAGCGAGAGAAGGAAAAAGGAAAAGGAAGAGCGGTCAGAGGAGAGAGACTAGAAGGCAAGAGTGTGTGACTCAGGGCGTGTGCTGGTTCTTGAGTGCTACAGTGGCTTAACACAGAGTTGCCATGAAGTCTTCTAGACAGATGTACTCCACTTCACCGACAGTAGGTAGTGTCTCTGTCGACTTTGTGTTTGTTTGTTTTTGTTTTCATGTCCATGTTTGCCTGTGTGTGTGTGTGTGTGTGTGTGTGTGTGTGTGTGTGTGTAACTTTACAGTATCAGCTCACCTGTCATCACAGTGGAGTGTTGGTGTTTTGTGTGTTTACACAGGCTGTCAGCTCTTATCTGTTGGTGTTGCACAGGTGTATCACAGTGAGAAGACAGCAGAGAGTATCATACTTCTCCTGCATTATTTCTCTGGCCTGTTAAAATGTCTCGCGCTCTAACCCATCTCTCTCCCACCATGCTTCTTAAGCGAGAAGAAGACATTTGATATCCCGTCTTGCCACTTTTTCAGGTTTATCTGCATGTGTGTTCTGTAAGAGAGAGTTCACCCAAACTGTGAGGATCCTGTGGTACGGTAAAGCACCAGCAGAGGTTTCGGTCGTGAATGAGACGAAGAACATGGTCTCTTTTGTGTTCTGTAAAGCCAACAGTAAACAGAACGTGACACATGCGCTTAAGCGCACACACAAAAACAATTAGCTCAGCACTCAAATACTATAATACTGCGAGTTTGGGGAATTACTTAATCTAAGGTCACCAGCAGCATTGCTGCTATTATTACTGTGTTTATAATGGCCAGGAGAATTATGACACATTTTTGCTTTTATGGTATTAGTTGGCAGCTCTCTCAAAGACGCGTCCTCTTCATGCATAATTTTTCTTCATGCATCCTGAATGTGTTTGGCTTTATCCCATCCCAGTGCCTTTAACTGCTGAGTTTAAATTCTAAATCTGCTTCCCTTCACTCACTTTAAAGCCTGTCAGTTAAAAACTGGTCATGGATACTTTAGACCATCAAAACTAAGCATCGTGGCCTACTTAGGAGTTTAAGTGAGCATGAATGAAGATGGGGCCCGTGTCAAAACTTGGTCTGCTGAATTCATGTAACCGTGTACACGCACGAGTGTATTCATTCATGTGCATCCACGGCGGTCAAATCTTCTTGATGTTACAGCGTTTGCTTTTCATGTCTCCATCAAGTTCATTTTAAAGCTCGAAAGTGCAAAAGGTTTGCCTCAGCTATAGTTTAGATACAAAAATAAAAAAAAAACATGTTAAATTAAGTTTCTTTTTTGAAAGTTGCATCATCTCACACTGCTACTTTAATCTTTATTCCAGTGTTTTAAGGAAGAGTACTTATTATTTGGCACTTTTCAGACTCCGCATTCTTCTTTCACAGCGGTCCACCCAAGAAAAGTGCTGTGAAACCAGCAGTAGATGAATGGACACAAATCACCTCACTGTCCTGCTGTCCCGAGGACCGGTGGTCTTATTTTAGCCTCACTGTCATTGCTTCCTCGTCTAGTCACTAATACACGAGTCTAAATTTAGACAGACGTCATAACAGATGATATTAGTATCGGTGTGTTCTAGTACAGAAAAACAGAATGACGGAGAAGTGTGAGAACTGTGCTGAAGAACTGAATACATCCTGTAGTTGATCCCCCCATTATTTCTACACTCGGGAGACATTCCAGCTTCTTTTCATTGGAGTCCAGCAAAGACAACTAGATACTCTTGAAATGCCGGTTTAAAGCAGAGGACTTATGGAGAACAATGCATATTTCGATTTAGACAAAACATAAGCTACTTACCGCTAATCATTTCCGTTTGACACCCTGCATGTCTTTAACCCGAGTAAAAATGTGACATGTTGTTCTTGGAGTTGATGGCTTAAGATGTGACCTTTACCCTCCCAGTGTGGGGACTGTATGTCATTGGATCCTCTGTGCAAAGACTGGAAAGATACAGCTTGGCTTTTACCCACTCTGGTGTGTGAGTGTCCGTGCGCGTGCTCATGCTCGGTGGGCAACAACTAACAATAGGACACGAGCGGAGATGGGACAGGGGATTGAGAGCTGTATTAGATCCAGCAGCGACAGATGTGCAGACAGGAGGGAAAGTCTGGTGGGGGGATAATGATAGTCAGTGTATGTCTGTGTGTATGTGTAATGTTTATAACTGCTTTCCTATCATTGTGTATTTACTTGAGGCATGTACTACTCTTCGCTCACCCCTCCATCTGTATGAGCACATGAGTGCATGCCTGATGCATGAATAATGCATGTGCTGACCTACTGAGAAAATGTGGCTGGATTCATTGCTGTTAGCAACAGAGAGATGAAAATGATATGAACAGCATTCAACAAAAGTGCAAATTCAAGCCATGCATCAAGTCAACCTATGTGGTTATGACCTCTTGTTACGTATGTACAATATTTGCACTGGATGCTTGTTTTCAGTTAACACCTGATCTTGCAAGCGATGCTTCACTAGCATTTTTTTACTGCTGTAATTAATTTTGCCGTATTTGCTGACCTTGCACTGCTGAATGTGAAAGTGGGCCATGTGGAGGCAGCAGGGGTTTGTGTTGCTAGGCAAAATATCCATACCTTGCATCATATATATAGCTTTTTTTTCCTAATGTGAGAACAATAACAGACTTCTCTGTTCTGGTCACCCTACAGTTGGTTTCTGGCTTTCATGTAACTTCTACCTACAGAGGTGTGCTGTTTGCTGTGAATGTGAAAATGTAGCTGTGTGGTTCATAAAATAAGAAATTAAGCCTATTCCAGCTTAAACGTCTTATGTTTTGTTTTTTTGTATGTTCAAAACTACGACTGTTTCAATGGATTATTGTGGATTTGTAAAAAAAACCCAAAAAAACAACCCTTTTGTTGAGTGCTTACTTGCTCGTTACAAAGCCTTTTCTTTCTTACGCCTTCTTTGCTTATTTTTGTATTTTATAACTTTAATGTGTTACTCACGCATTTGGCCATAATGGTTCATGTGCATCTGCTGAGCATGAACTGCAAGCCTCTTTCAGCTCTCTTTCAGATGACGTTGCTCTGGTATTAACCTAGAAATAACTGCATAACAGTGTGCTTGTTCTGATCAAGGCATTAAACAGCTTTGTTTTGCTTTGGTTCCTGGTACCTTCTCTGAAAAGTTTGCTGAACAATAGCTCAGCAAAGAAGACCAAAGAAAAAGCTGGAGTGCAGCATTTTTCTTTAATATTTTCATCTTTCTCTTTCTCTTGTTAGGTTAACTGCTGTCGTTGTCCGTGGCTTTAAATTTCCTTTGCCATGGCCAAGCGCGAGGCTGGAAGTACCAGCCCTGTGGTGCGTCAGATAGACAAGCAGTTTCTGGTCTGCAGCATCTGCCTGGATCATTACCGCAACCCCAAGGTCTTGCCCTGCCTGCACACCTTCTGTGAAAGGTAACTAATGTTTGTGCTGTCTGCGTCAATGACACCGGTCAGGAGTCCTAATTACTGCTGCTCGCACTGTCTGCTGCATGTAGCTATTTCTGGCCATTCAAAGGAGCTACAGTACATTGTTTACCATACCTGTCTCTCTTCTAGTAAATCCTGTCTCTTACCCTGTTATCATAGAATTCCTGTCATACCTACACGCTGGCCAATAGAGGAACCTCGTCTATTGCAAATCCCTACACACAATTAAAAAGCTCAGAGCGCTTCTCGTCACTGACGCTGCTGGGATAAGTGCATTCCTCAGCATCAGGGACTGTCAAGGACTGCAGTCTGAAAAAAGGCTCACTGTTGAGAGACACAATTACAGTGGCTCAATCCACAGTTTCTTGGGAAGGATGACACCCCCTCAGGTGACAATGCTAGAGCCGAGCCAAGCAGGAGGAAGCTTTTTGAAAGCTTGTTGTGGGTCATGGTGGGAGGATGGAGAATGAAGAAGGGGCATATTGTTGGCTGCAGAAGAAAACCAGGATTATGTTTCAGACTGGTTTGCTCCTAAACCCACGATCTACCAAATATTTATCGAATGGCTTTTTAAAAGCCACACAGTATGAGATAATTCTCTTTTTTTCCCCCATGCAGTCTGAGCTGCATTTGCCCACCGGAGGGCAAGTTTAATCCCTGGTTTAACTGGATAGCATGTGATGTGGAGTCCTGCTGAGGTGAACAGATTTTTGTCTAGGGCTATACGCAATATTTCCGGACAGATGTTTTAATGCTGGGGTGGGTTTATGTACTTTAAAGAGGGGTGTGGTGCAAACCCCCGCTGGGCCTATTCCTTTTGGGAGGGTGTTACTTTGCTTCATTTTGCTCCCGATGTCCTCTGTATGTGATTGTCATTTTTGCATATAACCTCAGGATACGACTACTTCATAATATAGAAATGATGCCAAAATAATTACATTTTACAACAACAGTAAAAGCAATTAGAATAGATAAATAACATTTTCTTACCCTTGAATCCCTGCCTGCTGCTCCCAGCGGGCTTCATGTCTGATTTTTGACAAAATATTTGATAGAAAAAATGTTTTCGTTCAACCTCTCAGTTGTTCTCAGAAGCAGAAACAGGGAGGCTTGGCTGATACGAGCTTGTATGCTGTCATAAATTAAATATAATTGTTCCAGCATGCAGCCTAAGCAGCTGCCAAACATACTTTTGTAAAAACACAGAGACTTATCCTGAGAACTGACTCAGGGTTTCTTACTGTATTAATCGCCAAATCATTAACTACAGAAACTAAAGAAATACAGCTGTACATCACCTGAGGGTGGGCACCTGGGCTGTAGACAAGGAATGCATTGCAGTCTGCATACTGCACCTGAAAGTTACTGACTGGCTTTGGTTTTTTCCCTTGTTAGCGTCTAATGTTGTTGATACACTCCAGTGGGCTTGTTAACCAAACCTGGAAAAATCTTTAGCATGTAGAGCCAAGCAGGATAGATGTGACTACTAGCATGCGTGAAGCCAGGCCAGAATCCAAACTACACAAACGCACACATAGATGCACAAACAGAAAAAAGCCTTAAAAAATGCACTTCACATGTATTCATGATTGAACTGTTTTGCCTCTTAGTGACTCTGTTAGTCAAATTGATTTGCCAGATGCTCACTTACTCAAAGAGAGTGTACATGTTTTCTCTCAAGCCTGTGGGCTCTGTATTGATTTAAATCCACTCTATTGCCTTATTTGATGTGACAGGAGCACTATTTAGGCACTGCCTCTCTTTATTATGTGATTGCTCTGTCTTCCTCACACCTTCCTCTTCTTTTTTTTTTCTGCTGTATTGGTTATCTAAGTTTTATATTTATATATTTGTTGGCCTCTTCCTTCAGCTGTCTCCAGACCTACATTCCCCCTGAGTCTCTGACACTCTCATGCCCAGTGTGCCGGCAGACATCTATCCTGCCAGAGAAAGGAGTTTGTGCCCTGCAGAACAACTTCTTCATCACTAATCTTATGGAGGTTTGAAAACACAATGCATTAGCCAGATAATTCAAATGCGCATTACAAATAACAAAATAAAGAAATACCTCCTTGTTCCACACTGAATATAAGAATGTATTGCATTAGGTCCTTCAACGAGACCCAGAGTGCTCGCGGCCAGAGGCCTGCAGTGTGTTGGAATCAGTCAGTGCTGCAGCTGCAGGGAAGCCGCTCTGCTGCCCAAACCACGAAGGAAAGGTGAGAAGCTCTTTTGAGATATGCTACTCAAGTCATCACCTTACCTAAATTCCTTTCCATGTTATTTCAAGCAGTAATTGGTGTAAAAGGAACTGAATGTTACATTAATTTCTTTTTTTGCAAGAGAATGACTCGCTCTGTCTCCCTCTGCAGGTGATGGAGTTCTACTGCGAGTCATGTGAGACAGCCATGTGTTTGGAGTGCACAGAGGGCGAGCACAGGGAGCACATGACTGTTCCTCTGCGGGATGTGGTGGAACAGCACAAGGCTGCGCTGAAGACACAGCTGGATGCCATACACAGCAGGTGGGGGTCTTGATACCTCGGGAAAGCTTTAAGCAGCTTAAGCATTTGGTCCAGACCTTAGGCGATCTGTGCACACTGTGCCTCATCTGTCAGACATTTTCATTGTGTTCAGCTGCTATGGAATACATTTTCACCTTGTTTCATGTTGCAGGCTACCTCAGTTAACAGCAGCCATTGAGCTGGTGAGTGAGATCTCTCGACAGCTGAGTGAAAGGAAGAATGAGGCAGTAGCGGAAATTACAAGTACATTTGAAGAGCTGGAACAGGCGCTGCATCAGCGCAAGACGGCCCTCATCACAGACTTGGAGAATATCTGCAGTACCAAGCAGAAAGTTAGTTGATGACCAGTTCATTCACTCATGTATATGCACATGCATATGTTTTTGTCCTTAATACCAGAGATTTATTGCTTTCTTGACATTTAATTCCTAATTTTCCTCTTTTTTAATGTATTCAGCTGCTTTTTCTCATCTTCAGTATTGTTTTAACATGCTCTACTGACCCTCCTGTGTCTGTTTTCTCTTATTCCTTCTCATTCTTGAGCACAGGTCCTGCAGGCCCAGCTTTCAGCTCTCCTCCAGGGGAAGGAACATATTCAGAGCAGTTGCAGTTTTACAGAGCAAGCTCTCAGCCATGGTAGTGCTACTGAGGTGGGCAGGCAAATTTTTATATACCAGCAACCTGTCAAACAGGATTATAGGATTTGACTCTCAAGTTTCATGCAGCAATGTAGCAGAATGTCTGTTCTGCAGTAGTTATATTGTTCTGTATTAAAAGGTACAGATGGGGGGGAAGGACTTTAAATAAAATACAGTATGCATCTCCTGTAAGAATAGGTGCTGCTGGTTCAGAAGCAAATGAGTGAGCGAGTAAACGCGCTGGCCAGACATGACTTCCCAGAGAAACCTCATCAGAATGCACACCTGGACTGCCAGGTAACGACTGCTGTCTGTTGTGACCTCTGTTTTTATTGTGGTGGTTTGACTGATTCTCCTACATTGTCGCATCGCAGGTCTGCGTGAGTCCTGTCGAAACTTTTTATTTTTCACGTGACTGTAATTTGACTACATGTATAACAAGCAGTACTCAGAAAGGACAAATCTCCACCAAGGCAGCTCAATCTGTGGGCAGTGTTTACTTTTATAGGATTTTTTTTATATATTCAGTTTGTTTTCTTTTTTTAAATGTAATGAAAGAAGCTTGTAGTGCAGCAAAAGTAATATTTACAATTCCCATATACCAGCAGATTGAACAGCAGGCATGCAATGCTACAAAAACATTACCTCCTCGGTGTGGGTAATAAAACAAATGTATAAACCCAGTCGTAAAGTACCATTAGCTTGTTAGTAGTTACCAGCTGCAGACACAGAAAGACTTAATAATAAAAAATAATAATAAAAAGTATTAAGAAACTCAAAAATTCAAATGTGCTGTGTGTTCAAGGTGGAGACCGAGGGCCTGCGGCGCTCCATCCAGAACCTGGGTGTTCTCCTCACCACAGCAGCTGTGGCTCACACTTCCGTGGCCACAGGAGAGGGCCTCCGCCATGCAGCAACTGGGCAACACCAAACTATTACTGTGACAACAAAAGACAAAGTACTGTCTCTGAATTATGTTGCTTTACTATCGTAATATTGTTCTGCTATATGTGTAAATTAAGCCATTTACTTTTTGCTTTGGCTCTAATGGGTTTACTGACATTTATTTGCTTTTCTTGTGTGTGGCTATTTCAATTTAGCTTTTCATTTTAATTCATAGCATTTATCAGAGTTCGTTTCCAAAAGTTATTTCACGGTGGCTACTCTGGTCACCGAGGCAATTTTCAGGGATTATTTTTATGAAAAGAAATCTATTATAAGCTTCTCATGCATGTGTGGAAAGTGCTTCTTTAGTGGCTGCCGTGTGAATATTGAAGATTTTGTGTTGTTCGGAAATTGACTCAGTGAACCCTATCTGCAGGATGGGGAGCTGGTGCGGACAGGAAACGCAGTTTTAAAAGCAGAGATAACGTCCGCTGATGGGAGCCGGGCTGCAGAGACGGAGATAACGGACAATAAGAATGGAACATACGAGGTGGGCTACACGTTACGCTCTGAGGGAGAGTACTCGTTTTCTTTGCTGCTGTACGGACAGCCGGTACGTGGCAGCCCTTTCCGACTGCGAGCAGTTAAGCCGTCAGATGTTCCGCAATCTCCAGACGATGTGAAGCGGAGGGTGAAGTCCCCCAGTGGCACGGCTGGCCACATACGGCAGAAGGCAGTGCGACGGCCTTCCAGTATGTACAGCACGACTAAGAAAAAGGAGAACCCCATTGAAGATGAGCTCATCTACAGAGTGGGTAAGAGAGACACGGAAAAGCAAATTATGTCCTACACAAGTTACATTATCTTTGTTACAAATCAAGAATACTTATGTCATCATTTATTAGCTTCTAAGCCACAAGACAGGCTTTTAAATTGACACTCTCCGCTCCAGGCAGTTGCAATTTCCAGTTCATGCCAATAGACTACACAATAAAACTTTGATCTGGCTTGATTGTTTTATAGATTTTTTTTTATAGACAATTTGGCTTTGGCTGAGATAAAAAAAAATGTCACTGGCATTCAAAGGTTTTGCAACTTCTTCATATTATTTAATTCAAGCAAGTTTCTGTAATTTACTTTTGAACTCTTTTGCCGCTTTAAACAAACTTTCCCAAGCCTGGGAGACAGGAAATGAATCCAACAAAACGTATGTCATAGTTTGGTAAACGATCGGCATGAGTGCACAGTGTATAAGACTGGAGACTAATGTGAAAATGGTAAATGACACATTTCTTGAGTATTTGCCTTTTTTTTTCTGTCAGGTTCTCGGGGTAGAGAGAAAGGCGAGTTCACAAATCTCCAGGGGATCTCAGCCTCTAGTAATGGCAGAGTGGTGGTGGCTGACAGCAACAACCAGTGCATACAGGTGAGGCAGTGTAGCCACGTGTTTCACAGTGATTGCACAGAAGTGGATATTCAGACGAGTGTACTCTGCCGTACACTCTAAAACTGTTTGCTTTGATGGACCCAATTGCAGGTTTTCTCCAATGATGGCCAATTCAAGATGCGCTTTGGGGTCAGAGGTCGGTCTCCAGGGCAGCTGCAAAGACCAACGGGTGTCACTGTTGACATGAACGGTGACATTGTGGTGGCCGACTATGACAATCGGTGGGTCAGCATCTTCTCTCCTGATGGGAAGTTTAAGGTAAGATCTCTGTGCAGGCTGAACAGCACTAAATGCCTCATTTAAGGGTTGTTCATATGTGAAATCTATTAAAAAATAGTCTTTTGGTGTTTTTCTGCCTCACCATTTACCTTCTGCTTGAAAAAGTGCTAAACTACTTTTTTGTCTCTCTGCATCACAGAATAAGATCGGTGCAGGACGGCTCATGGGTCCCAAGGGTGTGGCTGTGGATAAGAACGGACACATCATCACTGTGGACAACAAGGCTTGCTGCGTCTTCATCTTTCAATCCAATGGGAAACTTGTGACCAAGTTTGGAGGCAGAGGGACTTCTGACAGACAGTTTGCAGGTGAGAAGGAGGCAGCCACTGCCGGGGAGGAGACAAGCAAACATCTGTTATGAAATTTTGAATATTTGGCAAACTAATTAAAGTGAGTTAAAATATACTGAAAGAAATAAAAACACACTTCCATTATTTAGGATAACATTTTTTATACTTCTTTAAAGGAAAATAGCAAAGGTAAATATCTGACTGCATAAAAATCAAAGGTTAATTTATTAAAATAATTAATCATTAAGGGAAATATGGTTGGTATAAACTCAATGTGTAACATTCAAGTAAATTTCATTTGACCATATTCCATTAAATGTAATGTTGTACACTGTAGTTACATGGAAAATTTACATGTAATCAGATTACTTCATTTTATGCATAAATATTTTTTGAGTGTAAGTAACAGGATTGTTTTAGTAGACAGTAAATCAGGATTTTGAAAGTGTTTGCAATGTGTTTTTTATCATTGTTTAGTATTAGCAACTAAAAACCCTCATTGTGAGCACCATTACTAATGTAGGCGCAGTTTAAAGCGTCAGCTCTGGGCAGCAAACAGCATGAAGAATATTAAAGACAACACTGGCTGTGTGCCCGTAACTCCCACGGTATTACTGCATTAGCCGGGCAGCAGCACCCCCCTGCACCTCCCTGAGCTTTTTCTTCTTTGGATGTCTTTATCTCTGACTAGCTATTTTTTTTCCTTCCTTTCTTTCTTTCTTTCTGTTCTTCCTTCTGTTTTCCAACTCAGAAAAACTTGGCCCAAACATAAATAAATCTGGCTCAGTTTTCAGTAAGTACTAAGTGTGGCCTTGCTGCAACCTTAATCCCACAGTGCAGTGCCCTCTGTCTAACCCAAATCCGTGATCATGTGTCTGACCTCCTGAGATCTCTGATTGTTTAAAAAAAAAACCCTGCAGGATGAAGCTGTGCCTGTGCAGCAATGATCAGAGATGAGATTACATGCCATTGTAATAATTACATGAATCATAATTATTCTTTTTTAAGATAAGTTTGTTGTGTGTATTGTGCTTTGGGTGAAAAACGGCTATGAAAAGAGAGATCGGTGTGAATGAATTTTACTGTTTCCAATAACTCATTCTGTGGTATTTTAATATAATCAGTTTCGAGGTCTGCTTTTAATGATAAGTTAACTGGACGAGTAACCCAACCATCAGTGTAAGCACTGACAGTATGACTAAGACAATATAAATATTCTGTGATTGGGCAGTGCATGCATAACAATGATTTAGGCCTTGAGCCTCTCCATATAATTTAACTTTCAGTATTGACTTGAAATGTTGCATGAAAAGAAGCACAACATACTACTCGCATCCAATCAGAAGGGTTTCCTATTTTATAATTGCAGCTTTAGACAAACTATAGATGAAAACTACATTTAGTCAGCCTACTAACAGTGAAGCCAATGCATAAACAACAGGAAACAGTCTCTGCTTTAACTACCAACATAACCTGCTTCTGTCTCCTCATCCAGGCCCGCATTTTGTTGCCGTGAACAACAAGAATGAAATTATCGTGACCGATTTTCACAATCACTCTGTGAAGGTAAGAAAAAAAGACGACCTATGTCTGAGTTTGCCACCTTAGCTGTGATTTTTATTTTAAAGGGAGGCCGTGCACATGAAGATGCTGACCGAACTTTTCTGGCTTTTTGCCTCAGGTGTACAGCGCTGATGGGGAGTTCCTGTTCAAGTTCGGCTCTCATGGCGAAGGGAACGGCCAATTCAACGCTCCCACTGGCGTGGCTGTGGATGCCAATGGAAACATCATTGTAGCTGACTGGGGTAACAGCAGAATACAGGTGAGGCAGCTTGCAGTTTACGTGTAGATGTAATTTTAACGCCGTTGCTGTGTTTTGTTGTGACAGAATTGCTGAAAATTCTGACCTTTTTTTCTGCATCAGGTGTTTGACAGCACAGGGTCCTTCTTATCCTACATTAACACTTCGGCAGACCCGCTGTACGGCCCCCAGGGCCTAGCGCTCACCTCAGATGGACACGTGGCTGTTGCAGACTCTGGCAATCATTGCTTTAAAGTTTACAGATATCTGCAGTAGACTGAGGGGAAGATGTCGCCGCCACCACCAACTCCTGCTTTAAAAAGCAATGTCACATATTTCTTGCAGAGAAAAAGTTGCAACATGCCTGCACACTTCCCAGAGGCTCCATGTCCACAAATTAATTTCCTGTTCATTTTGTCTGTAAATACTTCAAGGATTTAATGTCCAGAAATGATATTAAGAACAAACTTCCAAAACATGCAATTTTAATGTTTTCAAAGACAAAATTGGCTAGATATCACAAAAACTACTGACTACTGCAAGAACAGAAACCATAATTACTGAAACGGCAGTGAGTTCTTGGATTACTTCTATTTTTAAAAACAATCAAGCAGGTAAACATATCTCATATAGAGACTTTCAAATACTTGCGTTTTTTTTTTTTAAAGAATGTGAGACAGCCTCTGCTCAACTATACACCTGCAAAGTTAGATGACTACATCTTGTACAGTCGCGTTGCTGTTACATGGCTAAATAGGTCCATAGACAGACATGCATATATCAAAAACACCTAAACAATCAATTAGGCATGTCTATATTTTGTCATTCTTGGTTTGTCTAACTTTAACTTTCCATAAAGCTGAGCTATAATGCTTCTCTCCACCTCATGTTTTTATTCTCGGACTCTACTAGAGTAGCTTTGCATGATTCTGTCTGAAACAAGCTGTTTTAGTTTGAGGTTTGAGATGGGCTTTATCAGCAGATGGGCAGTGTTGCGCTTCTCACAGAGCTGCGTGCCTGAAAATCAATAATTCAATTTTGGTACCTAAAAATTTCAGCTTAATAACTTGAAATGTCAAGTTATTGAGGGAAACAGAGTGCTTTAGGCAGCTAGAAGCCTGAGCTATTAGCGCATGGGAATTATTTGCACAAACACTTGGCTAAATTTGTGATTAGTATCAATGTCACAGTAAAAAAAAAAGTTTGTGTGTGTGTGTGTGTGTATGAATGACATAGATTAGGTATAAGCATAATAGTTTACTCTGATTGGCTTAGAGCCTAAAACTAACCAACTATCGACAGGAAAAAATGAACAGGAAATTAACCCCTGGCTCAAAGGCCTTTTAGCTCTATTCCCCAAGTGTATCTTCACAGCCTGTCAGTCTTAAATTGTTTTGGCAATGCAGATGGGCAACACTCAGTATCCAGCAAACAAGGCAACGCAATGAAGATTCCCTGTTTCCTGAAAGGAACATGATGCTTTATGAGTAAAAAAAATGCTCAGGTCTTTCCTTGAACAACGTTGCATGTTCGTGTGCTCTGAAAATGATCTTCTTGTCACTGCCTTACAATATTCATCAGCGAACTCTGCAGAAACTTCAGGAATGTGTTGTTTTAAAAGGAACTGCTTATCATTCTCATTCTGCACCTTATCAGTCTGACATGATCACTGCACAATTAAAATTATTCTTATCATTGTTTTTTTGTTTTTTTTATTTCTATTTAGCCATAAGATGAGTTTACGTATATGCAAGTTGTTTCATTTTGGGATCCAAAGACAAGCATCAAAAAGCACAGTAGTTAAAAAAAAAAGGCTAAATATCTGAACCAGCTCCCCTTCACCCTAAAGTCGGAGCCCTACTAGCAAAACAAAATAATAGTAACTAGTCCTTGCACTTTCGTATATTCATACCTACAATTCACTGTAGTTGTGCATATGCACATTTACACGTATGTATATATTTATACATATATATATGGATTTGGTGTCTATATAGCCTACATATTCCAGCACTTAAACAGAAACAAGGTCACGCCAAGTAGTTAACTGAATGAATGAAACATCAGTGGAACAAAGTTGTAATAAGTACATATTATTTGCTGTATTCTTTTTTTTTCCTTTTTGCAAAAGAATTTATTTATTTACAAATTTCTTTTCTACATAATTTGTTTGACAAATTATTTTTCTAATTGGTCGGTTTGAACCTTCTCCTCCTCTTTGCCAAACTTAGCTATACCATTGTAACTTGTAGCACTCAAAGCTGTTTTCTGTTTTTGACTCTTCCCGGTCAAACAGTGACGTTTCCTTCTGCCAAAACCTATTGTTGTAAGTTGCTGTTGAACATTGCACAGAATACAAATAATGAGAGTTATATAGTTTGCAAGAGTAATATATGCCTCTATGTATAGTTCATTTTGACATAATCAGAACGTGTACTGTATATTACAATCATATTCCTGTTGTAGCTGACAAGCACTTTTATCGTGGATTTTCCAGGATTTGTATTCATTTGCTCTGTAGTTCAATGTTTAGAGGTTTTTGTTTTTTTGTGCGTGTGGCTCTTACAAAAACACCAGCTAATATGCAGTGACACAAAATCATCTCTCACCTGTGTTTTAGAAATACTGTCTGTCCCCCAGTACTGACTCATTCTGATTTTCCATCTGCATTTCCTATTTATTGGAAAACTGACAGATTGAGCTAAACTTCCCTTCTCACTAGACTGTATTTATTCTTTTTGTTGTTGCTTTTAACTGTCAAAAGACATGTGGGGGGAAAACTGAAGCACACAGTATTAATAAAATGACATCAACTTTTGTGTATACAACTGTGTACTACAAGAGGCCATTTACAAGTAATCAGTCCGTTCATGTATCACGGGGAAGGTATGATTGTAAATTAAAGAATGACTAAACTACTGCAAATTGCCTGCTTTGTATAACTAAACTTTAGTTTATGTATTATACAGTAGACTCATTTTTACAGTGAATTTTCAGTTGTTTTCCTTTGTTTCTTGGCCAGATTAGATATCAGCATCTCTCTTCATGCCTACTTTGCCTACTATGCCAGTTGTTTTTTTTTTTTCCTGATGTCCTCTTTTTCTATTGTTCTATTGTCAAATAAGATAAAATGTCACTTGCCTGCTTCTTGGCTTCTACTGGCTTGGCATTTGCAATAATGTTAAAAGAACTCGACATCACTGGGACTTAAGACATGAGAATCATATTCTCACGGCTTTTTTTTGCACAGAAAAATGTTACTTAATACTTTATAAAACACATTTACAATACACTGACACGAAGCCTCTCAAGAGACCTTTGTATAAATCAAATGAGTCATAACAGCCCGGCCTTTCCAGTTTCTTGCAAGACACCCCAGCAGCCAATAACTTTTAAGCATTTGATGAATCAGTCTCTGCTGGTGTATAACAAGTGTTTGCTACACACCAGGCATTCAGTGGTGCAGTGTATAAATAGATTCTTAAATATAAGGTTAGATTAAAACTATCTCCTGGTAAAGCTATTTAAAAAAGATTGGCTAGAGTGAATAAATATTAACCTCTAACCTTTAAAATAAATAAATAAAGAAAATAATAATCATAATAATATCAGCTTAATCTGAATAAAACCCTGCCAGAAGAAAACTTTAATCAGCAATGGTTCTCTGAAGTATTACTTCAAGTATGCATGTGATTGTCAACCTAAACACATTTGTATGGCCGTCATGAAACCCAAATTATTTTAAGTCAAGAACAAGTAAGAGTCATCATCAAAGAAAGGAGGACACAATAAGAACAGCCTTCTCACCTCTTCCTTAAATGTTCTTGCAGAATGAAATTAGCAATACCACACCCAATTTCAAGATTAGGGAACGGAAGGATGAAAATGGCAAGCAGCCTGTTTTGTTAGTAGAATGAACCAAAGCTATTAGCATTTTTATCAGCTGGATGTAATAACTCAGCGTAAATGAAAGCTGATGAAAACGATACAGTCATGGTAAACAAAAATGACCTTTAAATTTAAAAAGTGTAAGTCTTAAAAGTAAAACCTCAGATAAACTACAAAATGGCCTTCCACCCAACCGCAGGAACAGCATGGGGAAAACATAAGTACACACTTAATGCTTTCATAGGAATTAAGGGGTCATACAAAAGTTTTAAAAGTCTGGAGAGTCTGTTAGGTCTTTTCCACTGCGGTAAAGTGAGCCGTCATTTGTGAGCCGCGGTCAAGCCAGCCGCCTCCTATCCGCCGCATAAATTTCCTTGCGCTTTTACACCAGTCTTTACGGTAGCGCCTTTCTGCTTTATGTGTCCTGATTGAAAGCCTAGACTCGCGCGCACACGCACGCGCGTGAACAGTCACACGCACGCGCGCACACAAATTACAATGGAACAGCTCAATACAGCCATCGTGACAGTCTGGTTGCATATTCAAAAATTCATTAAAAATCATTCTTAAAAGTTGATGCCAAGCTTTCAACACAATCCTCTTCTCGGACACCTACTTTACCTCTGGGCCAGTTTTTACCCAGATTTACTGTAATATTACTCAGAAATCACAGTAAACTCATATTCAGTGCAATACAGTCAATGCACTACAATTATGTTTATTTCAAAAATTCATTAAAAGTCATCCTGAATAGTTGAGGTCCAACTTTCAACACATCCCTCCTCTGGGACACCTACTGTACCTGTGTGCCAATTTTCATCCAGATTTACTGTAGAATTCCTCAGAAATTAAAGGGTACTTGTATTCAATGCAATACAGTCAATACAATAGAATTATGTCAATTTTCAGAAATTCATTAAAAGTCATCCTGAGTAGTTGATGTCCAACTTTCAACACATCCCCCTCTGGGACACCTACTGTACCTGTGTGCCAAGTTTCATCCAGATTTACTGTAGATTTCCTCAGAAATTAAAGGGTACTTGTATCCAATGCAGTCAGCCAATACAATTTAATTATGTCAATTTTCAAAAATTCATGAAAAATCATCCTGAGTAGTTGATGTCCAACTTTCAACACATCCCCCCTCTGGGACACCTACTGTACCTGTGTGCCAGGTTTCATCCAGATTTACTGTAGAATTCCTCAGAAATTAATGGAAATATTTATTCAATCTAATACAGCCAATGCACTACAAATGTGTCAATTTTCAAAAATTCATTAAAAATCATCCTGAGTAGTTGATGTCCAACTTTCAACAGATTCCTTCTCTGGGACACCTACTGTACCTGTGTGCCAGGTTTCATCCAGATTTACTGTAGAATTCCTCAGAAATTAATGGAAATATTTATTCAATCTAATACAGCCAATGCACTACAATTGTGTCAATTTTCAAAAATTCATTAAAAATCATCCTGAGTAGTTGATGTCCAACTTTCAACACATCCCTTCTCTGGGACACCTATTGTACCTGTGTGCCAATTTCCATCCAGATTTACTGTAGAATTCCTCAGAAATTAAAGGAAACTTATATTCAATTCAATACAGTCAATACAATAGAATTATGTCAATTTTCAAAAATTCATGAAAAATCATCCTGAGTAGTTGACGTCCAACTTTCAACACATCCCTCCTCTGGGACACCTACTGTACCTGTGTGCCAAGTTTCAGCCAGATTTACTGTAGAATTCCTCAGATATTAAAGGGTACTTGTATCCAATGCAGTCAGCCAATGCAATTTAATTATGTCAATTTTCAAAAATTCCTTAAAAATCATCCTGAGTAGTTGATGTCCAACTTTCAACAGATTCCTTCTCTGGGACACCTACTGTACCTGTGTGCCAGGTTTCATCAAGATTTATTGTAGAATTCCTCAGAAATTAATGGAAACATTTATTCAATCTAATACAGCCAATGCACTACAATTGTGTCAATTTTCAAAAATTCCTTAAAAATCATCCTGAGTAGTTGATGTCCAACTTTCAACACATCCCTCCTCTGGGACACCTACTGTACCTGTGTGCCAAGTTTCAGCCAGATTTACTGTAAAATTCCTCAGAAATTAAAGGAAACTTATATTCAATTCAATACAGCCAATACAATAGAATTATGTCAATTTTCAAAAATTCATTAAAAATCATCCTGAGTAGTTGATGTCCAACTTTCAACACATTCCTCCTCAGGGACACCTACTGTACCTGTGTGCCAGGTTTCATCCAGATTCACTGTAAAATTCCTCAGAAATTAAAGGACATTTATATGCAATTCAATACAGCCAATACACTACAATTATGGAAATTTCAAAAATTCATTAAAAATCATCCATAATAGTTGAGGTCCAACTTTCAACACTTTCTTACTCTGGGCGTCCTACTGTACCTCTGGGCCAAGTTACATCTCAATTCACTGTAATCTTTATCAAAAATTGAAAGAACAATTATATGTCAATGCTGGATGTGTGTCCTTTCAAAGTGACACTAAATAACAGAACTCAGGCACATCAGGGAATAATCCAAAAGGCGGATTTATTAAACAAAAACAACATACAAAATATCTCTAACCCATACTACATAACCTAAAAAGAAACAAAGGGACACTTAGAAGCACAAGGAAACAATACTGAAAGGGCAAGAGACACAGTCCAAACATAATCCACAACTAAAATGCCAAAAGAACAAGTCATCCCACATAGCAGACGGGTCTTGCCTGGATCTGGTGTCAAGCCGGCACTGCTGGCTGACTTCTGGCATGGTAAGATGGCACTGTTTATGTGATGGCATGCCACATTTGGCCTGATTGGGTGAATGTGACATGTTGTATAGAGCACTTTGAGTAATATGGGTGAGTAAAAAAGTGCTGTATAAGAATCAGTCCATTCACTGTCTGAACAGAGTTTCGTCATGTTACTTTTGCACTATTATGTTCCAGCACATGTTGTTATTACATGGCTTACATGGCTAAGGTACACATTAGGCTGACATCTGGGGCCAGAGCTGAAACTGTTCTGGGCCAGCACAGGGCCAGCAGTGTGTCTGCAACTGGCCTTGTGCTGGCTCATCAGAATCAGAATCAGAATCAGAATGGGGTTTATTGCCAAATGTTGAGCAGGTTTACAACATTAGGAAATTGCTGCGGTGCTTCAGTGCAAACATGGTGTCATAAATAACACTTAAATAGACATTGAAAAAATAAAAGTAGGGATAAGAATTAAAAGTGCTACGTGGAAAGATATGTGCATGCGATATACATGAGATATATACATGAGAGTAAGAATTAAGAGTGCTACGTTGAAAGATATATACATGAGTGCAGGTGGTGATCAGTGCCAAACATGGAATGATACAGTGAACACAGCGTAGGGTCATGTGTTAGTGGCGGGGACAGTCATATGGTTATTGTTCATGTGTCCAACAGCAGAGGGGAAGAAACTGTTCTTATGGCGAGAGGTTCTGGTGCGAATGGACCGGAGCCTCCTGCCTGAGGGGAGCAGGTCAAACAGACTGTGTCCAGGGTGAGAAGGGTCAGCTGAGATCCGAGCTGCACGCCGCAATGTCCTGGAGGTGTACAGGTCCTGCAAAGATGGGAGTCTGCAGCCAATCACCTTCTCAGCAGAGCGCACAACACGCTGCAGTCTCTGTTTGTCCCTGATAGTGGCTCCAGCGTACCACACGGTGATGGAGGAGGTGAGGATGGACTCAATGATTGCAGTGTAGAACTGCATCATCGTCCGTGTTGGCAGGTTAAATTTCTTCAGCTGCCTCAGGAAGTACATCCTCTGCTGGGCTTTCTTGATGACGGAGGTGATGGTGGGCTCCCACTTCAGGTCCCGGGTGATGGTGGTACCCAGGAAGCGGAATGAGTCCACAAGGGTGATGGGGGTGTCAGTCAGGATGATGGGGGGGAGTGGGGCTGTGTGCTTCCTGAAGTCCACAATAATCTCCACTGTCTTCTGGGCATTCAGCACCAGGTTGTTGTGGCTGCACCAGGACACCAGACGTTCAACCTCCCTCCTGTAGGCAGACTCGTCACCGTCCGAGATGAGTCCAATAACGGTGGTGTCATCTGCAAACTTGATTAGCTTGACAGACTGGTGGGTGGAGGTGCAGCAGTTGGTGTACAGGGAGAAGAGCAGAGGAGAGAGAACACAG